GGGGGGCCCCTATTATACGTGATGATGAATAATCCCCTTTATCTTGCAGTGTTGGTGCTGCAGTAGTGAGGGAGGCCTCAGCAGCAGCAGCAGCAGCAGCAGCAGAAGTATAATTAGCCTCTAAATCCATTAGATATAGTTATTCTTGTTATTTATATTAACGCAGCAAATGTATTAGCAGCAGCTGCTGCTGCTGCTGTTGACCTGCAGCAAGAGCAGCACAAAGAACAGCAGCAGCAGCAACAGCAGCAGCAGCAGCAAGTTACACACAGAAGGATAGCAATAGGAGACTAAGGGGCCCTATGCTACTACATATATAAGGGACCTGCAGCAGCAGCACCAACAGCAGCAGCAGGAGCAGCAAAAAAACAGCAGCAGCAGCAGCAGCAGCAAGTGTGGGGTGTACGTACAGCTTAAATAATATTATAAAAGATAAAAAGGAGGTAAAAAGGCAAAAAGAAAAAAAAAAAGAGAAGAATAAAATTCTTCTTAATTGGGGTGTATAGGCACCTCAAAAAAAAAAGAAGGAAGGAAGAATTTAATTAATTAATTAATTAATTTAATTAATTTAATTATATTTATTTATATTTATATTTATATTTATTTATTATTAATTAAAATAATAATAATAAATAGGTAATAAACAAGAAAAAACAAAGATGTACTAGGGCCTCTCTAGCAGCAGCAGCACGCATATGATATGCTGCTGCTGCTGCTGCTGTTGCTGCTGCTGCTGCTGTTGCTGCTGTTGCTGTTGCTGCTGCTGCTGCTGCAGTATTCAAGGTATTTAGTCATTAAATTATAATTAATTTATATTATTTATTTATTTATTAAGGACAATAAAAGAAACAAAAACAATAAAAGACCAACACATCAACTTTTTTATCTGTTGCTGCTGCTGCTGCTGTTGCTGCTGCTGCTGCTGCTGCGGCGGCTGCTGTTATACTTGCTGCTGCTGCTATACATTATATATATGCTACTGGTCGCCATAGCTGCTGCTGCTGCTGCTGCTGCTCGCTGTTGCTGCTGCTGCTGCTGCTGCTGTTGCATGCACGGTGTGCAAGCTTAATGGGGCTTTATGACGTTTTTCTTTAATTGTTTTTATTTAGTCTTTTTCTTATTTATATTGTTCCTTCTGCTGCAGTGTACATGCAGCAGCAGCAGCAGCAACAACAACAACAGCAGCAGCAGCAGCAGCAGCAGCAGCTGTTCTGCTGCTTTATAAGATAGAGTTGTATATACACTCCGTACACCCAAGACAAAGACACAAATAATTATTATTTATTTTTGCTGCTGCTGTAAGTCTTCTATGTCTGCTGCTTCCTTCCCTGTCTACTGCTGCAGTCTACTCGTGCTGCTGCTGCCTCTGCTGCTGCTGCTGCTGCAGTTGTCGCTGCTGCTGCCACTGCTGCCGCAGCAGCAGCAGCAGCTGTTACAGCCTCTTATTGACTAAGGAGACAGCAACTCTTCTTATCCTAACACTGCAGCAAGAATAGGACACCAGTCGCTGCTGCTGCTGCTGTTGCTGCTGCTGCTGCTGTTGCTGCAGCTGCGGCAGCGGTCTCAGCTCGACGACAGCAGCAACAAACTACCTGCTGCTGCTACTGCTGCTGCTGCTGCTGCTCTCTAAGGAATCTCCTCGCCCGCATGCCTACAGATAGGCGTAGCCCCTTGTAGGGGCCTTAAAACCACCGCAGCAGCAGCAGCAGCAGCAGCAGCAGCAGCAACTGCAGCAGCAGCTGCAGCAACAGCAGCAACAACAGCAGCAGCAGCTGCTGCTGCAGCAAGAGCCGCAGCAGCAGCATCAATGTCCTTTCTTCCTTATAGATTGTGTGTCTCCTTCTGCTGCTAAGAAAATGGCGCAGAGAGACACCTTCCCTATTGCCTATTACGGTAAACCCTAAACCCTAAACCCTAAACCCTTTTTTTTTTGTTCTTTTTTCCTTATCATTATTAGAGGGGCAGCAGATGTTGCTGTTGTTTATTTTATTAGGGGTTGAGGGTTTAGGACTGCCTTTATGCCATAATTAGGGTTTAGGGTTTAGCTAGGGTTTAGGGTTTAGCTAGGGTTTAGGGTTTAGCTAGGGTTTAGGGTTTATGTGTTGCAGATGAGAGCGGCGTATGGCCTTTGCTGCTTCCTGAGGTTGAGCAGCGGCTGCCTCTTGAGCCGTTAGTGCTGCGAGGGTTTAGCAGCAGCAGCAGCAGCAGCAGCAGCAGCAGCAGCAGCAGCAGCAGCGGTGCTCCTGTATATTTGTCGTTTGAGCGAGAGAGTCTCTCAGCATATACTTCTGCTGCAGCAGCAGGAGGAGCAGCAGGAGGTGCAGGAGGAGCAGCAGCAGCAGCAACACCAGCAGCAACAGGTGCTCCTGCTGCTCTATCTGCAGCACAAAAAGCAGCAGCAGGAGCTCTTGCCTCCCTAGGTGTAAATGTAGGTGCAGCAGCAGCAGCACTTGCTGCTCCCTCCTCCTCCTCCTCCTCAGCAGCAGCAGGAGGTGCAGCAGGAGGATCTATAGGAGGAGTAGGAGTAGGAGGATCTGCTGCTGCTGCTGCTGCTGCTGCAGCAGCAGCAGCAGCAGCATCACCAAATATACTATGGACAGCAGGAGAGAGACCATTTGTACATGTGCTGCTGCTGCAGCACGAAGGTATTGAGGTGTATAGGCAGCAGCAAAGACGCTTGCTGCGCCAATGGATAGAGAAGCAGCAAGAGCAGCACGAAGAGTTTCTTGTTGCTGCTGTTGCTCCCCTCAGCAGCAGCAACGAGGCAGCAAATAAGCAGCAAAAAAAATTTATAGATAAAATAAAAAATGATCTAGGCTATAAGGATAGGATCCTTCGTCTCCCCGTGGGATCGATCGATCCCAGCCAACAAACATTAGCGCAGCAGCTATGGAAGGTATACAACACAAAAATTAGGGTTTAGGGTTTAGGGTTTAGGGTTTAGGGTTTAGGGTTTTGAATCATTTTTTTTCTTGGTGTATTTTTTTGTCTCTTTCTTTTCTTTTTATTGTCTCCTTTTTTCTTTTGTTTTGTCTCCCTTTAATTAATTAATTAATTAATTAATTAATTAATTAATTAATTAATTAATTAATTAATTAATTATTAATGTGTCTCCTTTTTTTTTGTCTCCTTTTTAGGCCTTTTTTCTTCGTCTAAGGGAGGCCTTAACGAGTGCAGTTGAGTATCGTATATTATTAGCAGAGGACGTGCTGCAGCGTCTCCAGCAGCAGCAGCAGCAGCAGCAGCAGCAGCAGCAGCAGAATTGGGGTATATTAGCAGCAAAAGATGCCCTCTCCTGTCTCCTTGGTAAATGCGGTCGTTATGCAGAGGCATTAGATGTCCTTTATTCATTAAATACCCCTAAATTGTCTCTTCCTTCCTTCTCCCCTCCTGCTGCTGCTGCTGCTCCTGTTGCTGCTGCTGTTGCTGCTCCTGCACCAGCAGGAGCAGCAACAGCAGCAGCAGCAGCAGCAGCAGCAGCAACAGCAGCATCTGGTGGTACAACATCAACAACCCAAGGATCCCCGCCAACCCCGTCAACAGAATCAGCAGCATCTGCTGCAGCAGCTGCTGCTGCAGCAGCAACAGCAGCAGCAGCAGCAGCAGCAAAAGAATTATCTGTAGGAGGTACAGATGGATTACCTCTTCTTGCATGTAATTGGCGTGCATGCAGCATCAGCAGTAGCAGTAGCAGCAGCAGCAGCAGCAGCAGCAGCAGCAGCAGCAGCAAGATGTCTTCTTGTGGTGTACTAAAGACACGGGAATATATATATAATAAGGAAGCAATATTATTAATTAAATTAAATAAGATAGAGGAATTAGGTAATAAAGGATTAATTCTTTATAAATCTGCTGCTAAGGAAGCAGCAGCAGCAGCAGCTAATGCAGCAGCAGCAGCAGCTAATTATCCTGCTGCTGCTGCAACAGCAGCAGCAGCAGAGGAGACACAAGAAATTTATATTAAGGTCTTATGTTGGGCTGTCTTAGGTTCCCTTAATCTCGCCAACTTTATAACAGCAAAAGTTAGTCCTGCTGCTGCTGCTGCTGCTGCTGTTGCTGCTGCTGCTGCTGCTGCTGCTGGTGTTGTTGTTGTTGTTGTTGCCGCTGCTGTTGCATGTTTATGTTGCTGGTTTGCATTATCCTGCTGCTGCTGTTGCTGCTGTTGCTGCTGCAGTGTATGAACAGCAGCGAGTCTTTAGCTGCCAAGGAGTCTGACGAATCTGCTTCTTCCTCAGCAGCAGCAGCAGCAGCAGCAGGAGCAGCAGGAGCAGCACGATCATCATCATCATCATCATCATCATCATCATCATCAACAGCACCAACAGCAGGAGCAGGAGGAGGAGGAGGAGGAGGAGGAGGAGGAGGAGGAGAAGGAGAGACAGGAGACAGTAATGTAGTTAAGAATGTATTTGTCTCCTCTTTCCCTTTGCTGCGTCGCCCTACCTCTGCTGTTGCTAAGACATGGACAAGATTTGCGCCTACACATCTAACTTTCTTACCATCAAGGAGACAGTTAGGGAGGACACGCAGCAGCAGCAGACCTAAGGAGGAGCAACAGCAGCAACAGCAGCAACAGCAACATCAACAGCACCAAGAAACAAATCCTCATCATCAATATTCGCATCAGCAGCAAATGCAGCAGCAACAGCAGCAAATGCAGCAGCAGCAGCAGCAGCAGCAGAGACACCGCACACTTTTCCGTACAGGAAGAGATGCAGCAAGAGAAGAAGGCAGCAACACTCCCCCTCGTAGGAGCTGCAGCAGGGGAAGAGACCGTCATATAGACAGCAGCAGCAGCAGCAGCAGCAGTAGTAGTGATGGAGACACAGCAGCAGGACAAGCAAAAAGTGCTGCTGCTCTCTATACATTTGCTGCGCAGCTGCTGCAGCGTCTTGCTGCTCTTAGGACACCGCAGCAATGGGGTGTCTCCTCTTCTTTATTTATTAATAATAACCAACTGTCTCCTTCTTCCTCCTCTTCTTCTTCTTCCTCTTCTTCTTCTTCTCCTTCTTCTTCTGTTAATATTAATGGATATACAGTGCAGCAGGACACAGATGCGCAGCAACAGCAGCAGCAGCAACAGCAGCAGCAGCAACAGCAGCAGCAAGGGGGAGGAGGGGAGGTTGCGGGGACAGGAGCGACTACAGGGGACACAGCAACGGCAGCAGGAGCAGGATCATCATCAGCAGCACGAGCAGCAGCAGCAGCAGCAGCTGCAGCAGCAGCAGCAGGAGACACAGGATTATTATATTTTCCTGCAGAAGCAGTAGAGGAATTAAGAGACAGTTTAGAGGTTTATACAGCAGCAGATTTACGTGCTGCTCTCTGCTGCAGCAGCAAGCAGCAAACCCTTTTGCTGCGGCTGCTGCTGCTAGGGGGGCAGCAATATGTTAACTGTGGATACTTTCGTCATGCTGCGCTGCTGCAGCAGCAAATTGCTGCTGCACATCTGCAGCAAGGAGACACAAGAGCATGCCAGCTGGCTATACACCGTATGCTTCCTCTTTTCCTTAAGGAACCATGGACAGATGTAAGAATAAACCCTAAACCCTAAACCCTAAACCCTAAACCCTTCAATGGACCAATTGTCTCTTTCTAGTGTCTCCTTATTTGTCTCCTTTTCTTCTTTTTCCTTTTTGTTCCTTCCCTCTAAGTGTTGTTGCTGCTGCTGCTGTTGCTGTAGCAACAGCAAACTACCATGTGTTAATCATGTCTCTCTTACTCCTGCTGCTGTTGCTGCTGCTGCTGCTGCTGCTGTGTCTCTGTACAGCTATGGGTTTGCTGCCAGAAGTTATTAGCACAAGCAGAGGCTCTGCAAGGAGACAAGGCAGGGACACTAGCAACATTATATGTCCTTAGCAATTCTGCTGCTGCTGCTGCACCGCAGCAGCAGAAGCAGCAGCAACAACACCAAAACCAGCAGCAACAGCAGCAGCAACAGCAGCAGCAGCAGCAGCAGCAGCAGCTTGACTCTATTAAGAATATAGAGAAAGAAGGACCAGAGGAATGCTTCCGTCGTTTCCTCTCATTAGCAGAAGCAATGAAGAACAGCCACCAGCAAGAAGCTGCAGCAGCAGCAGCAGCTGCTGCTGCTGCTGCATCAGGAGCACAGCGTCTGCGCAGCGACCCCCAGCAGCAGCAACAGCAGCAGCAGCAGCAGCATGAGGTTGGTGAGGCACCTGCTGATTTATTAAATAAGGCGTCTATACAGCTCAGCGCTGCACCTAATCTGTTTGCATGGGTTGCTGCTGCACCGCATGCAGCAGCAGCAGCAAAACAGCAAAGAAGAATTGCTCTTCCTGTTGCTTACCTCTCTCATGTAAGCTTATTAGGGTTTAGGGTTTAGGGTTTAGGTTAGGGTTATGTTGTCTCCCTTATTTATTAATACCTGTCTGCTGCCTAGTTAAGATTTATATACATCTATGTGCTGCTGCTGTTGCTGTTGCTGCTTCTGCTGCTGCTTTTTGTAGGGTTGGCGCCAACCCCCTCCTTTGTCTCTCCTACGTACTCCTCCTTCTTCGCGCATGCAGCTAGGTGTCTCCCCTCGTGATGCAGTGTCTCCTTCTTGCTGCATGCAGCATCTGCAGCAGCTGCAGCGAGCAGACAGCACATGGACAGCAGCATCTCGTCTCTCTATTCCTTCTGTTTATACTGCAGGGGGCCCCCAAGGAGGGGGCCCCCATGGGGCCCCCTCGCTAAGAGGAGGTGGTGTAGTGGGTACTAGAGGGTGGATAGGAGAACAGTTGAATTTTGGCTATCCCCCCTCCTCGTCTGTTGCTGCTGCAGGTGGTCTTGCTGCTGCTGCTGCTGCTGCTGCAGCAGCAGGAGAGACACATGATGGTATATCTACTATGTATTGGGGAGAAAGAGAAAGTTTATTGTCTCTTCCTTGTCCCCCTCTTAGCTCCCTAACACAGGATCTACTGCAGCACGCCGTGCTGCGGCAGCTAGCTGAGCTGCTGCCGTTATATAAATTGCATGCAAATGCAGCAGCAGCAACAAATATGCATGCAGCCCTAAATGTTTATGAGACAACATTACTTAGATTAAAACCTAAAACTATTGCTGGTGTATTAGGACAAAGACTTAAACCTCCGCCTCCACCACCTACTGCAGCAGCAGCAGCAACAGCAGCAGCAGCAGCAACAGCAGCAGCAAATGCAGCAAATACAGCAGCAGCTGCTGCTGCGGCTGCTGCAGCAGAAGCAAACCATGCTGCAACAGGAAATAATCCCCCAACCGCTGCAACAAATGCTGCTTATCCAGCAGCAGCAACAGCAGCAGCAGCAGCTGCTGCTGCTGCTGCTGCTGAGGGGTTGGGTATTGAAGGAGACTCAAAGCAGACATCTGAAGGAGATCTTACAGAAAGAGACTCTGATGAACAACGACCAGATACCCCACAACCACCTGCTGCTGCTGCTGCTGCAGCAGCAGCAGCAACAGCAGCACCAGATGTTCAGCAGCAGCAGCAGCAGCAGGGTGCCGCAGCAAACCAGATAGAGACAGCAGGCCCTAATGGCGGGTTGACTCCTCTTGATAAGAAAGAGCCTCCTTCAACAGATGGCACCTCGTCTCCTGTACATGATGCAGCAGCAGATGCAGCAGCAGATGCAGCAGCAGATGCAGCAGCAGATGCAGCAGCAAATGACCAGAGGGCAATGGAGGACCCCAAGTCGCGTGGCGCATCTCGGTCATCCTCACTTCAGCAGCAGCTACTGCAGCACCAGCAGAAACAGCAGCAGCAGCAGCAGCAACTGCAACAGCAGCAGCAGCAGCAGCATGAGCAGCATCATGATCAGCAGCAGCAAGTAGTGGTATCAGAGGATGAAGGTTTATTATATCTTCCTCCCTCTAGTCCCTCCCGTCGTATAAGATCATCAGCTGTCTCCTTAATGCATGCAAGAGGATGCATGCCTTCTTTATCTGTCCCTTTAGGGGAGACAGTAGATATTGTGGTGTATATACACTCGGTGCTGCAGCTACCTCTACCTATTGATGCTGTATATATTAAGGTATGTAGAGTACCAACACCAGCAGCAAGAGGAGGAACCGGCTTACTACCACCTACAGCAGCAGCAGCAGCAGCAGCAGCATCAGCATCAGCATCAGCATCAGCATCAGCATCATCAGCAATAAATGGAGGATCAGGAGGAAGTACATTATGCGAAGAGTCCAGTTGGTTGATGGTAACATCCGCCTCATCAATAATCCCATATGCTGCCCCCAACGAGCCTACCCACCCCACCTCGACCCACTCCCATCATGAACAACACCAGCAACAGCAACAGCAGCAACAGCAGCAACAGCAGCAGCAGCAGCAGCAGCAGGAGCAGGAGCAGCAGGAGCAACAATTATATATATATCCAGGTCTAAATAAATTAGAAATAATATGGAATTGTGGAAATAATATAAAAAGTGGAATTTATTTTTTTGAAGAATTAAAATTTCAATTCCAAAAAATTTTTCAATTTCGACAATTTTTTGATGAATTTCCAAATCCATTTTTTCTTACACTTCTACCATTAGCTATGGAGTATGCAATTATTAATAATATTTATAATAATAATACTACTCTTTTTCCTACTCCTCCTGTTACTCCTCCTGTTGCTACTCCTCCTGTTGCTACTCCTCCTGTTACTCCTCCTGTTGCTACTCCTGTTGCTGATTATGGTTATGAAGGTGGTCGTCCTGATTACTATTGTTATTATGGTGGTGGTGGTGGTGGGGATGGAAATACCAACAACAGTCATGGTAAGAGGGACAATAGCTGCGGAACTGTTGATGGGTCCTTGGTTACAGCAGCAACAGGAGCAGCAGCAGCAGCAGCAGCAGCAACAGCAACAGCAACAGCAGAAGGAGGAGGGGAAGGAGGGGGTGCTTTAGTATCTACTCCTAATCCTTTTTATATAAGAGAGGATGGAGGGGATGAATTATCTGCTGCTGCATTTGCTGCTCGTCTATCAGGAGATCCTGCAGCATTTGCTGTTCCTTGTTGCTCTCCTGCTGCAGCAACTTTGCTGCATCCTGCTGCTGTTGTTGAGCGGCTGCTGCATCCCCTTATTATTGAATATAGACACCCGAGTACATGTGTTGCTATACAGGTAGATCCTTTGCTGCCCCAGCAGCAGCAGTTGCTGCTGCACCGTCTACGTTACATCCAACAACAACAGCAACAGCAGCAACAGCAGCAACAGCAGCAGGAGTGGGAGCAAACACTTGCAGATGTGTTGCAGTACAGCAGCAGCAACAGCAGCACAAATATTTTATTAGAAGGAGTTAAGTCCTGTCTCCTTATTACTATTAATGTCCCTTATGATTTCTTTAAGGGGACGGCCCCTAGGCTACGCGTGCTGCAGGCATTAAGTGTGGGGCCCCCAAGTAGCTGCAGCAGCTGCAGCAGCAGCAGCAGCGTAGGAGGAGGAGATCAGGAGACGCTTGATAGTGTCTCCTCATCCTCTTATCAACAAGGAGGTGTCTCCTTAGAGACACAAGGAGACAGCAGACATAGAAGGAGACACCTTAGGCACAGCAGGACAAGAGGAGGGGGACATGTTGCTTTTGATAGCATGCAGCAGCTCAGCAGCAGCAGCAGCAGCAGCAGTGGCAGTGGGAGCAGCAACGAGGCCAGCAGCGATGGCGAAAGCGATAGTGGTAGCGATAGTGTCTCTGCTGCTGCAGGTGCTGCTGCACTTGCTGCTGCAGCGCAGCAGCAGCAAAGTAGAGAGACCTCAGGAGACACCCCAAGCTGCTGCTGTCCCCATACACCACCGGAGATGCATACCCACTGCAGCAGCTGCAGCGGGAGGAGACAATTAAGCAGCAGCGGCATAAACAGCGGCAGCAGCAACTGCTGCTGCGGCTGCTGCTGCTCACTAGGTGCTGCATCACCGCAGCAGCTGCAGCTGCAGATTGACTGGGATAAGGCGCAGTGTATTGCTATTGATGGTGTCCCCAAGGTCATGCAGCTGTCTCCTTGGAAACGGGATCCTGCAGCAGCAGCAACTGCAGCAACTGCAACAACTGCAGCAGCAGCAGCAGCGCCGGCTTTAGAGAGAAGGAGCAGCAGCAAACTAGAGCTGCAGCAAATGCAACAGCAAATCATCTACGACTCAGAAGGGACAGAAGTCGTTGTAGCTGTCCCCCGTCCCCCTAGCAGCAACAGCAGCAGCAGCAGCAGCAGCAGCAGCAGCAGTGAGGACGATGAGGAGATAGGATGGTTGTCCCTTCCTCCATTTAAATCATCTCTACAGCTGCTGCTACCTGTCTCCGCTTGCTGCGCCCCTGGCGAGGGGCCCCTTGGGGGCCCCACTCTGCTGCAGCAGCGGACAGATGACTGCTGCTATCCTAGCAGTGAGTCGCTGCTGTCAGCAGGGGGTCCTGCAACAGACCTCTCACGGGTAAGCAGCAGCAGCAGCAACAGCAGCAACAGCAACAGCAGCAGCATTGACAACAGTAGCAGTAGGAACAACAGCAGCAAGATGTTCAGCAGGTGCAGGAAGTGCATGCATGCATGCATGCATGCATGCATGCATACGTGGTCTGTATATTGTGTATGCATTATGTGTATTGTGTATATGTGTGTGTGTTGCTGCTGCTGTTGCTGCTGCTGCTGCTGCTGCAGAGTCTCTCTCGACGTCAGTGGCGTTTTGCTGGCAGCTGTGGGGAGTGTGAGGATATGAAGGCCCACAGCACCGACTCTCTTGTGTCTGGGGGCCCCCTAGGGGGCCCCCGTTGCCGCTGCAGCAGCATAAGTGTCTCCGAGTCCCTCAGCCGCAGCAGGAACAGCAGGGGCCCCATGGGGACAGTTGGGGGCAGGGGACTAATAACAGTAGCAACAGCACTTGCATTTACATGCAGGAAGAAGCAGCCTGCTGCTGCTGCATCTGCACCTGCTGCTGTTCCTGCTGCACCTCCTGCTGCTGCTCCTGCAGCAGCAGCTGCTGCTGTACCTGTTGCTCCTGCACCTCCTAATGCTCCTCGTGACCTCGGGGTTTACGTAGCAACAGTAATCCCTGATGAACCCTCAAGCGGTCTCCCAACCAGCAGCAGCAGCAACAGCAGCAGCAGCAGCAGCGGGGAAGGGGAGCTAATGGAGGTTCGTCTGCATAGTGTGGAGGTTGCTGCTGCACTTACTCATGATGTCTCCTCCTATCGTGTCTCCGATTGTCTCCAAATAGTACAGGTGCTGCTAAGAGCAGCAGCAGCAGCAGATAAGCTGCTACTTAGATCTGCATCCATTGTACCCAGACCTCAACTGCAGCAGCACCAGCAGCAGCAACTGCAGCAGATGCTGCAGCAGGAAGAGGAGGAACAGCAGGGACAGCAGGGTTATGATGCGGTTGTTGCAACTGCAGCAGACAGCAGCAGCAGCAGCAGCAGCAGCAAAGAGCAGCAGCAGCAGCAGCAGCAGGATGGTCCCGTTCTGTCTCTCATTGCCCCACCAAACCCCTTCTCTATGGAGACTTGCTCACAGACAGCAGGTGAGCTGCTGCTGTTGCTGCTGCTTTTGTTGCTGCTGCTGCTGTTGCTTTTGCTGCTGCTCCTACACCATGGGTATAGGCCCAACTTGCTGCTTCTAGCTTTGTGGGTGCTGTGTGTGTGCTACCCTGCTGCGAAGGTCTGCATGGATATTTGCTGCTGCTGCTGTCTCTGCTGCTGCTGTTGGTGCTGCTGCTGCTGCTGCTGCATCAAGTGTCCCCTTCTGTTGTGGTGTCTCCTTTTCAGGGACAGTCTCCTTAGGGTCACGGCTACCTGCTGGATCTGTACAGACACTGCTGCTGCAGGCTAAGTATCCTTTGCCTACAATCCCTGCTAGCAGCAGCAGCAGCAGCGGGGACGACAGTCGTAACAGCAGCGACAGCAGCAACAGCAACAGCAGCAACAGCAGCAGCAGCAGCAGCAGTAGTTCCTGCATGGTATTTTATGATTTAGTTGTTCGTTATGAGATAGACACTGGATATCTCTCAGACCCTCCTCTGGATCCGTATATGCTGCAGCAGCAGCAGCAGCAGCAGCTTTGCAGCAGCAGCAACAACAACAACAACAGCAGCAGCAGCAGCAATCTGCTGTCTTATATTATCCCGCTGCAGCTACCAGCTAGAGCGTCTCCTCTCTTAATAGAAGTTGAGTGTCCCCGCGTAGGCCGTGTTGGCTCCTCTCTCCTTGTGCAGCTACATATTACTAATACTACACAGGTACGCTGCTGCTGCTGCTGCTGCTTGGGGTGCTGCAGGTGCTGCTGCTTGATTGGGGTGCTGTGGCTGCTGTTTGTGCAGCAGTTGCAGCAACTGCTGCAGCAGCAAGATCAGCACAAACACACCCATTAGTATAGTGCGGATCATCACCACCAGCTGCTGTTGCAGCTGCTGCAGCAGCAGCAGCAACAGCAGCAGCAGCAACAACAGCAGCAGCAGCAGCAGGAGAAATAGATTAAGGTGTCTCCTTGTACTTCTTGTGTCCTTAGGAGGCAATAGAAATATGCCATAAAGTCTGCTTAGAGTTCGATCGTCAAGAGCAGCACAACGGGGGCCCCCGGGGGGCCCCTGGGGGGCCCCCAGGGGCCCCTGATAAGAGGAGACAGAGGACATCAGGGGAGACACAAAGCCCTACTAAGTCTCCTCGTGTAGGAGAATGTCATGATTGGCTAATGGTAAGGAAAGAAAGACTAACAGTGTCTCCTGTCTCCTGTCTCCTGTCTCCTGACCCCTCTTGTCTCCTGTCTCCTTTTCTACTGTCTCCTTATCCACTGTCTCCTGTCTCCTGTCTCCTTTTATTCTGTCTCCTCCTTTCCTTTTTGTTGTATTTGTTAGTTTTATTAAATAGGTATAGTAGTGAATTGTCTCTGTACATTTGTATATCTCTTGCTGCTGCTGTTGCTGCTGCTGCTGCTGCTGTTGCTGCTGCTGCAGGCTGGATCTAAATGTAAGGCGCAGGTATTAGAAGGAGGAAAGGAGACAATTGTCTCCTTTTCTGCTATCCCTCTTCGTGCTGGTTCCTTATCCCTTCCTTTTGTACAATTGCTGCATAGAAGAGTCTCCTTATATAGGCCATCAGGTCCTGTTGCATGCAGCAGGAGCTGGCCCCATACCCCAGCAGCAGCAGCAGCAGCGGCAGCAAATGCAGCAGATGCTGCTGGTGCTGCTGCTGCAGTGGGGCAGAGTCTTGTAGGGCAAGAGGGACACACAGGGTTCAACAGTACGAGCAACAGCACGATATACAGTACCAGTTACAGCTACAGCAACAGCAGCAGCAGCAATAACAGCAACAACAGCAGCAGCAGCAGCAGCAGCAGCAGCACAACTCTCCTTGAGAGTCCTTGGGTGTCTCTTTATGATGGTGAGTCCCTAACAGCAGGGAGGGAAGTGATGGTCCTCCCTAAGCTCGTTAGTACACCAGAGGTTAGACTCCTTCACGACCGTTGCTGCTAGCTAGCTAGCTAGCTACTAGCTAGCTACTAGCTAGCTAGCTAGATAGTTGGCTAGCTGCTGCAGCTAGCTGCTGCTGCAGCTAGCTGCTTAGTTAGTCCTTTCTTGTTGCTCTCCCTCTGCGCCTCGCGCATTCCTCTATTATATTTTAAGCGCCCTTAAGGCACGAGGGAACAGGGCCACGGCCCCCGTACGCTAGCTAGCTAACTAGCTAGCTAGCTAGCCGTTGTGCAGCTAGCCAGCTAGCCTCTGCAGCTACCCTTAGATGCAGAGGAGACACTGCTGGCTAGTAGGTTAGTTGTTAACGGCTGCGGATAAGGATTTCCTATCTAGCTAAACTAGCTAGCTAGCTAGCTAGCTAGGTAAATAGCTAGCTAACTGGCTAGCTTATTAACTAACTAGCTAACTAGCTAGCTAGCTGGTTAGCTAGCTAGCTAGGTAGCTAGCTAGGTAGCTAGCTAGCTGTTGTTGCAATGGAGGTTGTTAACATTGATTAAGAAGATGAATTTGTTTAATAATGTTTTGTTTTTAGGTGTATATACACCTTATTTATATTCACTAATTTATTTTTATTTATTATTATATATTTATTATTTATAATATATATATATATACGGTTGTCTCCCCTGTCTCCTGTTAGTGAAGGAGACAGTTGCTGCTGCTGCTGCCTAACAGCAGCAGCAGCAGCAGCGGCAGAAGAGGAGCAGCACCACGTGTGCAGACACAGAAGGAGACAGTTATACAGCTATAATAGTAGACAGCTATACAAGGAGACAGTTAAATAAGGGGACAATAAGTAGAGGGAAATAGTTATAGTAAGAGGAGATAGTTAATAAAAGGAGACAGTTGTTACTAATAAAAGGAGACAGTTGATAGTAATAAAAGGAGACAGTTGCTAGTAATAAAAGGAGACAGTTATTAGTAATAAAAGGAGAGAGTTAAATAATAAGAGGAAACAGTTAAATAATAAAAGGAGACAGTTGCTAGTAATAAAAGGAGACAGTCGCTAGTAATAAAAGGAGACAGTTGTTATTAATAAGAGGAGACAGTTAAATAATAAAAGGAGACAGTTGCTAGTAATAAAAGGAGACAGTTGCTAGTAATAATAGGAGACAGTTGCTAGTAATAAAAGGAGACAGTTGCTAGTAATAAAAGGAGACAGTTGCTAGTAATAAAAGGAGAGAGTTATTAATAAGAGGAGAGAGTTGCTAGTAATAAAAGGAGGGAGTTATTATTAATAAGAGGAGAGAGTTGCTAGTAATAAAAGGAGACAGTTGCTAGTAATAAAAGGAGACAGTTGCTAGTAATAAAAGGAGACAGTTATTAATAATAAGAGGAGAGAGTTGCTAGTAATAAAAGGAGAGAGTTATTATTAATAAGGGGAGACAGTTGCTAGTAATAAAAGGAGACAGTTATTAACAGGAGGAGACAGTTGCTAGTAATAAAAGGAGACAGTTATGAATAAGAGGAGAGAGTTATGCTAATTGTGCAACTTTTAGATCAATTTTATCCTTTATAAATCCATACTCTATCTTCTTTGCCTCTAATCTATACAAAGGAGACACAAGGAGACACA